GGGCTCCTGCAGGGCCCAGGAATGACCTCTAGGAATTTATAGTCTGAGTTATTAAGCTAGCTCCAGCTTAGGAGTCATATGCAACCTCAGTGTAAGATCTTGCCTCCCCGGCATCCCAGAGGACCAGAGAGCAGCCAGGTTTCCCTCATTGCACTCCCCAGTCTGACTCCCATAGATTAACAAAGAAGGCCCGGCGGCAGAGATTCTGCTTCGTACCTTTTGGTCGGAGGTTTCATTGAGTTCTAATTGTTCTTGCTTAAGAGGAAGGAACACTAAGGCCACTGATTCATCATAGGTGCCCAGTAACCAACACAGCCACTGAGCCTGGGCATAACTAATTTACTGATCCAGAGCAAGGTAAGGAAGGCCCAGTGTTTGTCCCTGGCTTATCTCAATTTCTGTTTCTATTTCCGTCTGATTCTCTTCCTTCTATCTCTCTTGTCTGTCTGTCTGTCTGTCTGTCTGTCTGTCTCTCTCTCTCTCTCTCTCTCTCTCTCACACACACACACACACACACACACACACACACACACACACACTTCAGGAGTGAAAAGCCCTGATGCAGAGAAACAACCTCCAACATAGCCATCCACCCACCCCCTCATTTCCTCCCATTATCCCACTTCGAAGTAGAATATTTTTGCCACCTATTCCCAATTAACAAAGGGTGGTTTCTGGGAGGTCACGGACATTGATGATGGGCTCCCTTTACCTTCCTGTTTGCACACACTCTGCTTGCCTGGGAATTGGATGGGGGGGGTAGATAGACAAACTTTCTTCTGTAGAGCTTTTAAGAGAACCCAGGGTGAGTAAGGAATGAAAGCATTCTACCTCAGTCTTATCTGCATGCCTAGGCCCTGGCCTCCTCCTGAGCCTCCTGGCTCACCTTAAAGAGATGGTTTGCTTGTCTACTGTTTTCATCATCTGGTCCCTTCAATCCTCTATGCCTGGAGTTGCCTGGAGATTGAGTCCTATGTCTTGTCCCTAGAGGGGCTCTGATCCTTCCTGGGCTTCCTCCCCCCTTCCTCAGCACAGAAAGGTCTGAACAAACTCCAGGCTATGTAGGTAACTGGCTCTCCTTCCTGTCTCAGCAGCAGCAGCTGAAAATGGGGGACTGATCTTGTCCAGGAGCTCCAGCTCTCTCCCTCTTCACCCTCAACACACATATACAGAGCTCTAAGTACTTACACACAGTGCACTTTCATAAGAATAGATATATTTATACGCATATATTCACAGTCACCCACACTTACAATCATACATATAAATGTTCATAGTGTCCCATGCGCATCTACTGTTACATACATGCATAGTCATTCATTCTCACATGTACATACACATACTCTCACACACATATAGCTCTACAATGCTAACTGAACCCACAGGTTTCTCCATTTCACTTTCTCTCAGGCTTTGAAACTCACAAGAGGCTCAGACCAGCCCTAATTTCTCCCTTGGTCCCCTAAGGGCCCAGAGCAATGCTCTCTTCTCACTCCTTAATAATTGTCTCCTTTCCTGAGTTCAGAAAAGTGCAAAGTGAATTATTTGGGATAGAAATGACAGCCCAGCTTTCCCTCATGCTCCAAGTCTTCCTCCCACCATCACTTCTAACCTGGGGCTGCCTACCAGCCCGTCTGCTCAGAAAAATGAAGGGGAAAGAGGAAAGTCTATTTCTCTCTCTCTCTCTCTCTCTCTCTCTCTCTCTCTCTCTCTCTCTCTCTCTCTCTCTCTCTCTCTCTCTCTCTCTCTCCATGTTCCACTGCCATGAAGGGGAGGAGGAAATGGGAAAGGCTTTTCTATCCTTCAGGAAGATCCAGGGCTCACCACCCATTCACAAATTTCAGAGGGAAAGACCAGAGAGAGAGAGACAGAGACAGAATGAAAAACAGGCAGATGGGGGATACCAAAACATTGAGAGATGCAGGGAATGAGAGAAAATGAAATGTAGAAAGAGACCAAAAGGAACAAAGAATGCCAGAGCTAGATCGAGGGAGCTGAATCGAGGGAAGGAAGCCATGGAGCCATCACAAACCACCCAACCCCGCCTTAGGGAAAAGTGCTGTTGACTCTCCAAGTTCCCCAAGAAATTAGTGGGAGCTATCTGATGTGCCTGCATCTCCTTTCCCAGAAAGAGCTGTGGAGCCCCAGTCTATCAGATCTGATCACTTCTTTCTGTCGGTCAGCTTAGTATCAAGGGCCCAAGCCTAGCTCTGTCCAGGCAATGGCAGTGTGTAGAGAAGATGGAGGTGTGGGGCCTGGCCTGGCTGGGCCAGGAGTTTGGTCTGGGACCTAAGCCTCCAACAGTCAGGCAGCTTAACCCGGCCAGACTTCTCAGTCAAGGCATCTGCAGCTATCACCCAGGCAGCTGGGATCCCACTTCTAAAGGAAGTCTGTGCATCCTCAAAGACTCCAAAGATGGATTAGGGAGGGCCATTTCCAAATAACTCCAGTCTAAACTCCTAGTACAGCAGTCCGTGAAGGCTCTCTGTACACCATCTCTGGATACCCTTCTCACTCCCAAATTAAATGAGCCTCACTCTCAACTCTCCTTGGCCACCCAGAAGATGCAGGTGGCAATCAGAAACTACCCTCCCTTTCTTGGACCCCAAACCAAACCAGCTCTTCTCTCCCTACTTCCTAAGACACCAGCAGTTGGGGTTGACACGAAGAGAGAGAGCTAATCTCCGAGGCAGGGTTTGCATGGTGACACATGTGAAGTGATTCCTTTCAAACTAATGACTCGGCTCCAGGGGCCTTTCTACTGACCAGCCTAGAGGAAAATGAGCTGAGCCTCCCAGGGCCCATCCAACCCCTAGATAAAGGTGTCTGCTTCCAGGGGACCAATCTCCACCCTGCCTCCCTAAGTGAACAATTGGAAGGTCTGTCTGTGAAATCGAAAATGAAAGTCGGAAGACTGAAGGGGTCAACTCACTGCACAGAGAACGTTGTCAGAGCAAGAAGGGAGCTCAGTGGTCAACTAATCGAATACTTCTGTTTCACAGATGAGGAAACTGAGGCCCACAGAATTTCATGAACTCGCAGATGGTAAGAGCTGAGAGAGATTTTAGAATATAGAACATAAAAGTGAGATATGGGAAGAATCTTGGAATGTTGACTCCAAAATATTACGGTTGGGAAAGGGGGATCCTAGTCAAAATAAAGTGCAACTCCCTCTTTTTTCAGAGGAGAAAATAGATCCAGAAGAGAAAGGACTTGCCCAAGGTCACATGAGGAATTAATTAGTTGAAGAGATTGGACTGAAACCCAGTCTCACTAGATCACAGGATTTAGCACTGAAAGGAAAGATCCTTAGAGGCCGCAGTCATCTCCGAATGAGGAAACTGACTCCCAATGCCCAAGGTCTATGCCATTCCCCAAACCCCTGACCGCCGGGGTGACTGGCAGCTCCCAACCACGGATCCTGAGGACCATCCATCGGATTTGGGGGTCTGATTCAGAGGGTCGAGTCATCCCCACGGTTAAAAAAAAGAATCCTTCCTCCCCACTCCACCTCATTCCTGTCACCCCGCCCCACCCCCAGCCGCAGTAACCTTGCTTCTTGAGTCTGGTCGGCCTCCCTCCTTCAACTCTAGCTTAGACGCGGGCCTGAGGCTGAGACTCCCAGGGCCCAGAGACAGAGGGAGACAGATGCCGCAGCTTCAGTGAAATCCACAAACATTTATTCTTTGACACCAATTGGGGCAGGGGCAGGAGCAGAAGTCGAGGGGCGAGGCTGGGAAGGAAAGTAGAGGAGGGAAGTAGGGCTGAGCTGAGGGACGGGGCAAGTGGCAGAGGTTCCCTCGCTTCCACATCAAACCATCCAAGGGGGTCACAGATCCGCCCAGTCTATCCTCTGGCCCAGGCTCCTCTCTCGTGGACCGTGCCGAAGCAAAATAGCAACAAGGCCCGCGCCCCTGGAGAGATCCCCTAGAGAGGAGGTCAGGCCAGCTCTGAACTATTTACAAATACCTTACAGGGTCCGGGGAGGGATTCCATCAGGAGGTCCTGGACGGAAGTGGGGGGGGGGAGGCACAGAAGGCTCTAGGCCTCTCTCCGCCTCCCACAAACAGGGGAGAAGGGGAATCTCTGTGCCCTTCACTTCTTGAAATTCTTTTGCCTCTGGAGAAAATAAATAGGGCGGCGTTGGGTGACCAGAAAAGGAGCTAGCGAAGAAGAGGAAGAGAGGTTGACAGTGAGTAAGGTTGAGATGCACACCCCAACCCCCACCCCCAGCCTGGGAGGCACAGAACTGGGCGGAGGAGAGAAAGCTGAAAAGCCTAAATTTCTTTCCTCAGCAAGGGGAGGGATCCGTTTTTAAATTTTATGCCTGAATTATCCGGGTGGCTGCCACCCCTGCCCTTAGCTTTGCTTTCGTAGACACTGCTTCACGTTGCAGGAGGGCAGGGGCGGGGGAGGGGGGCGGGGGGGTGGAATCCTATGGGACTTGAAAGCGACAAATTCTCTTGCAGTCCCCACAGAAATGGAGCCTCGATTCCCTGGGTGGTAGGGGGCGGCGGGGAGGAGGAGGAGGTAAGTACACAAGACATAGACTTACGTTTCTTTAAAGGGCAACCCGGGGATAACTCCGACCTCAGAGCTGGGGAAGAGGGAGTGGGAAGTGGGGGTGGAATTCTCACCGCCTGGTGGAGGCCGCGTCCGCACCGGCCACTGGGAAGCAGAGAGCAGGCAATTATCCAGGGGTCCCATCCATCGGAGGCGGCAAGCCAGATCCAAGGGGACAAGCTCACTAGCCAAAATACCCTCTTCCCGTCGTCCCTCCCCGCTCCCACCACCCCTACCCCCACAGGGTTTTCCGGTTGGCACGAAAAATCCGGATCTTTGCCTTTGCTCCCCAGCTCGGTGGTCGCAGAAAGGGCCGCCTGGCTGCGGCCCGCGGCCCGGGGCCCAGCTGCCAGGTCCCACTTCGTTCTAAGGAGACACAAATGGAAGGTCTCCCGTCTCAGGCTGACGCCGTCCTCCGCCCTCGTCCTCCTCGGGCCATAGACCTATGCGGACTCTCTTAAATACTTGGCCAACCCGCGGGGAGGCACAGGCCGAGGAGGGCGACGGGGACCTCGGCAGCACGTTGCTCCAAAGAAGCTCTCACTCCCCGCAGCAAGTCTTCCTCCCATCGACCCCAACGGAGCGAGGCCGGGTGAGTAAGGGAACGGCCAGGGGAGAAGGGTGCGCGAAGAGCCCCTAGTGTATTTGGAAAGTTTGGTCCCCTAAGTTTCTCTCGGCGCGGAGTCCTTCGAGCGTCGGTTCAGAAGTGGCAGCCACTCAGGCTAGGGATCTTGCTGGCGAAGTTAGGGCCCGACTGCAGCAGCGCGTCCCCGGGGTGCGAGAGGCGGATGTGGGCCGGCACCGGCGTCAGCGCGGGCGCCGGCAGCACTGCCAGCACCTGGGCTTGGCCCCCGCTCGGAGCAGTAGCGTAGGGAGACGAAGGCGACCCTCTCCCGGCTATCGTTCCCCCTACGCTGCTTCCGCCGCCCGATACGGGGCCCGGGCCCGCTGGGGGCGCAGCGCCCCCGATAATATGGTCTATGGAGAATGAGGGCCGCCCCCCAGGCCCGGGCCCGGCCCCAGACCCTGAGCCCGCACCGCCTCCCCCACTGTCCGCCTTCAGGCTGTGTAGCAGAGCCGCGGCGGCCGCTGCCGCAGGCAGGCTGGCCGCCGTGCCCGCAGCCGGGGGGCTCAGCTGCGCGGGATAGAAGGCCTTCCGGCAGCCCAGCTCAGCCCCCAGGAAGGATGGAAGGCCGGCCGGAGTCGCAGCGAAGAGCGAGGCGGCAGCCGTCGGGGGACCTGGGGCCGGGGCCGGGGTCGGGGCCGCCTGAGACTGCACGGGCGGCGGCGGCGGGGGAGGTGCAGGTGGGGGTGCGGCCAGCGGGCACGGGGCGGCTGCGGCGGCTGCGAAGGAGAAGGCGGCGGGGTGGCCAGGGTGCGGGGCTGGGTGTGGATGCGGAGGCTGCGGAGGGCCAGCGTGGTGCGCGTGGTACCCGGGCAGTGGCAGCCCGTAGCTGTAGCCATAGGCGCCGTAGGCAGCGAAGCCTGGGAGGAAGGCGCCAGGGTCCCCTCCACGCAGCAGCAGCTCCGGGTGCGGGTGGGCGTGCGGATGGTGCGCGTGGGCGTGCGTGGGAGGCAGCGGCTGCCGCTTGAAGCGCTTTCTCCGCCGCAGAAAGCTGCCGTTGTCAAACATGTCGGCAGACTCGGGGTCCAGCGTCCAGTAGTTGCCCTTGCCTGGGTTGCCGGGCTCCCGGGGGATCTTGACGAAGCAGTCGTTGAGCGAGAGATTGTGACGGATGCTGTTCTGCCAGGCAGGGAACTTCTCCCGGTAGTAAGGGAAGCGGCCACTGATGAACTCGCAGATCTCGCTCAGTGTCAGCCGCTTCTTGGGGCTCTGAAGTATAGCCATGGTGATGAGCGCGATGTACGAGTAGGGCGGCTTCACCAGCGGGTTCTTGCCAGCCCCCGACGGCGCCTTGTCCCCGCCGGCCGCTGCGCCCCTGGGGGCCACAGGGGGCTCGCCACCGAGGCTGGGCTCTGCTCCCCCCTTGGGCCCGGCCCCCCGAGGGGTGGGCGGCGGGAGGAGCCGAGGCTCGCCGTCCGAGGACTCACCTTCCTCCTCTTCCTCCTCCTCATCCCCTTCCTCCTCCTCCGGCCCGTACTTGCACGCGTCCCGAGGGGTGGCGGCGGTGCTGAGCAGCGGGTCGCCTCCTCCTCCGCCCCCGCCGCCCACCACGTCGATGTCCCCCTCGGCCTCGGACAGCACTGCCGGAGAGCTCTCGGAGGACATGATCTCGCAGCAGCAGCCTCCTAGGGTCATGGTGGTGGCCGCCGCCGCCGCCTAGTCCTGGGCGGGCGGCTCTGGGACCCGCGCTCCGAGCGTTCCTCCTCCGCTGCTGTCTCTGTTCCGGCTCCGGCTCACTGGGTCTTGGTGCGTGTGTGTTTTGCGCGCGGGGAGGGGAAAGGAGGGGAGGGGTGGGGGGGAGGTGGACCAGTCGGGGGTGAGCACAGAGACTGGGGGTGTCCCCCAGCTATGAAGCGTCCCCTGGCGGACAAGAGCTGCACTTCTCCCCAACCGCGTGCGCCCAGCTTCTCTCCAAGAAGTTAGGGACACCCAGAGCTAGTGGGAAGAAGCGTGTGGGAAGTGTAGGGGGTGTGAGGGGATTAGTCACTTTCTTCCACCACCTCCCCCTGTGGGGAGGGGGGCTGGTCTTCTTTGCTGTTGGAAGGGGGGTTGGAAAAGTCTTCTCCCCCCCCCTTCCCGCTTCCTAAGGCGGAAGAGCTGAGGGCTCCATGGGGAGGGTGGAGGGGGTGGGGAAAGCGAGGGGCGGGGAGGGAAGGAAGGACGGATGAAGGGAGGAAGAGGAGGAGGGCAGCCGAGTCCCGGCGGTAACTAGTAGCCACTGTGGATATGAAGAACTCTGAGGGCCTTTATACTTGGATGGGGCGGGGGGGAGAATTGGAGTGTCACGTGGCGTTGCTGACTGTTGGCTGGGTCCCCACCACACCCCGGGTCCAGCAGGGATTCCTCTCTCTGCTCCCCACCGATTACTCGTCTCCGCTCCTCTCCAGGCCTCTTTCTCCAGCAAGGGCCGATGCAGGGCAGCACCGACAGACAGACTGATGAATAGCCCGACGAAAATCTGCCAGCCTGAGTTCGCAGAGCTTCTTTCGGCAGGGAAGTTCCCTCTCGAAAGTTTTGGTACCGCACCCAGGAGCCATCGCACCCAGGAGCCGGAGCCGCAGCCGCCCGAGCCTCCCGAGCCGCCCGAGCCGCCCGAGCCTCCAGAACGGAAGCCGCTAGCCTGGGTCCAGAGGTAGTGAGGAGAACTAGCTGCACAGACCCCGCAGCTGACTCCTGGGGCTAACTGCGCGGGTCCTTGAACTAAGCCTCCGGCCGCCCCTCAATCAGCCCCCTTCTTTTTGCCACCCTTTCCCCTCCCGGAGCCTTCAGCAACCAACTCTGAATGCTAAGGGGCCTTAGGATATGCTCCCCTCACTTTCCCGGCCTGAGTGGGGAGGTCCTGGGCCAGGCAGGGATCGCGCCCAGCCAAGGTGTGGAAGGCGAGGTGAACCTCCTTCCTCTGTATATGTGTCGGTCGGTTTGTCTGTGGGTTTAGTTGTCTGGCTCTCGAGCCCTGTAGCTCAGACCGTGTCTCATTATCTCTGTTTTTCTTCTTGTCTCTCGTCCCCCCTTTTTGCCTCTCTCTCTCCGTCTGACTTTTTTCTCTGCCTGGCTCCTCCTCCTCTTCCTCCTCGGGTTCCCTTTCTATCTCTCTCTGTCTTCCTCCTGCCCCTCCCACAGGAGACCCTCTCAGATTCTCGGTGTCCTGGGACCTTCGTTCCCCGCCAAGGAATTATTAGCGTCCTTTGTCTCTAACAGTTCCTTTAACCGATCCAGCCAACCTGGGAGCGGGCCTGGCCCTGGACACTGAAGGGTCGGAGGCCGCTGGCGTTTGCTCCTCTGGAGGATCCCGCTGGCCCAGGGGCGCACCCACCAGAGATGAGAAAAGGCGTAGACTCTCCTATTAATAGCCCTTCCCTTGCGGACTATAACCCAGACCAAAACGAACGCTCTGAGTCTGGTCTGGCTCGGCCACCCGAAGGACCCTCAACCAGGCCCTGTCCAGCTTTCTCGGTCTCCCTGTAGCTAGCCTTCCGCCTGAGGTGGAGGCCGGGCACTGAATTGGATGCTACCTCCCCATTTGTCTGGCACTACAACTCTGACCCTGCAGTTCTGAAAGGTCACTCCGTTTGACTTGGGTTCCCCCAGGCAATCCCGATTCCCGCTATTCACCCAGCCAACCCCAGTCTCCTGTTAAAGCTGTCTCACTCCGCCAGGGAAATGGAAAGAGCCATGGCCTAAAATTCAGAAGCACGAGGTTTAAATCGGGTTCTGCTACGGTCACTGTGTAAGCCCCTTCCCTTCTCTGGGCCTCAGTTTCCTTCTCTATAAAATGAAGGGGTTGGGACTCCAAGGTCCCTCCCAGACCTGACAAGAATGTTTATGGGATGTAGGCTAAGGTTGAGGGGAGGGACTGTGCTTTCTCCTCCCTTCTCCCTCCCCCCCCATTGCAGATTTGTATTCTGGCAGAGGCTGATTCTTTTGGGGAGAGTGAGGAGGTGGCTACAGTCTGTCTCCCCGCCTCTCGATTATTTTCTGGGAAAAGGCAGAACCAATATTTCCTGACCTTCGTCCCATCCCAACCCCTTCCAGGCTTGAGATGGAGTATTTTTGCTGAGGGACAGATAGAGGCTACCAGACTCACCTTCGTACACAGTCATGCCCAGCCATACGTGAATCCAGGTTCTCTCTCTCTCTCCTTTTTTTCCCTGGGCTCTGAAAGGCGCCACCACCCTGCTGCTCTTTCCTTCTGAGAGTTCCTGTGGCGCCTCACCAGGAGCTGGAAGAGACTTTAGGAACCATCTGGTCCAACCTCCTCGTCCTCTCAGGGAAGGAAAATGAGATCCGCAGAGGAAGGGATTTGCCCCAGGTTCCACAGCCGGTGGGACCGCGGAAGATGAAGGAGGAGGGAGAGGGAGTGACAAATGCAGTGGGCAAAGGTGTTTTCTTTCCTAAGTCCAGGCTCCTAAGGGTCCCCAGGGTTCCGTTTCCCTTTACCAGTGGACTCCTGAGTAAAGTGAGCTCCTTGATCCTTCCAGCGCAGGACCCCACCTGTTCTTAATAGCCAGGAAAAGTCCTCTCCCTCCGTTGTGTCAAGCCCCTCCCGCGTTCCTCTATCCCCCCGCTCACACTTCGCCCCTGGCTCTCGCGCTGGGACCCTCAGTGGATCAGTTCCCCTCTTTAGTCTGGGAAAGGCGACTAAGCAAGGCCTTTCCCCTTCCACACCTCCGTGCAGAAGACCCAGCTGCTAATTATCCCCTCTGGAGTTAGTCCCAGACCCTAGTGGTGCTTACCACCTCCTCCACCTGTCTCTGTCTGTCTGCCTCTCCCACATACACACATCTTTACACAGTGATCGATGTGTACACATACATACCCTCACAAACACTTGTGCTCAGGCCCGGATATAGACAACAATGCTGTCACATGCAGTAACTCAACTTCACCCATTGGCACTCGGGGCACCACACATGCACTCACAAGTCCAAGGGTCGCCTGTTCAGACCCAGGTACATTCACACACAGAGACCCTCTGGCAGACACGCTCAAATCCCACCGTGCTCACACTCAATTCTTCTCACAGCTGGGCCAGGTGAGCAGACAGGCCAGGATACTTGCTGGCCCAAGACTACCAGAGAGAACCTGAGAGGAATTAGGTCCGTCGGCGTGGGCCTCCCATCCCACTTTTCCCGCCTCCTACGTTTAGACTGTGAGAAACAGAGTAGCGGATGCTGCCCGGAGTAGGCCAGAGAACAGGGCCGAAGAACAGGTGCTACGCAAAGCCCCAGCATTAGCGTTGGCCCCCAGGCACGGCAGCTGCGGGCCAGAGGGCAGCCTGCCATAGGAGGGCCCAGAAAGAGCTCCCACGACCCTCAAGACGAGCCTGCTCGCCGACCCAGCTCTCCGCTGCGCGCCCACAAAGAGCAGCACACTCCCAGCCTTCAGGCCGCCATAGTAGGGACGGTGGCCATGGTGGTGCTAGCAGGGAGGTGGGCCTGAGCTCTGACCAGCTGCCTGCTGGGAAAGATGGAATCCCTTACTTTGATGAATGCCTTGCGATTGTCCGGAAAGGGGCTGCTTGGGATAGTGGCGGAGGCTAGCACCCACCTAACTACAAGCACTCTCCGCCTGTATCCACCCGAAAGTTTTCCTGCCCTCTTATCCTGGGCTTCAGGCTCCTAGGGACTGTCAGGCTGGGTGACTGCGCTGCTGTGTGTGGGTGGGTGAGTGGGTGTGGGTGTGTGTGGCTCTGGCTCTCTCTGTTTCTGTCTCTCGGGCTGATTCTCTACCTCTTTCTCCTGCAGTCTTTTGCTCTCCCGGGATCTATGCCCAGGTCTGTTTGACTCTTCCCTTCTCTCCAGGAAAACTGGTGCGGTTCTCCGTGCTCGCTGCTCAAACTTATATTGGGGGGAGGGGTGTAGCAGGGATGACCGGGAGAACCCCTTAACGAATTTGGTGAGAACCGCACTCGAACGATCAGCGGTTGTCCTGGTCACTCCACACACACACACATCAATAAATTTCCCTTCTTCCCAACCTACTCGTCCTTCTCCCTTGTTCTGCAGCAGTTTCCCTTCCCCGCGTTGGTGTCTCCACAAGCGGAATGGAGAATTGTGACAACCTTTACGAAGATTTAAAAGCCCTAAAACGTATCCCGATAATTGAGGTCAAAGTGTTGGAGGGGGCAAAGAGAAGAATCACCGTGTTAAATACACACACACACACACACACACACACACACACATACATTCAGATTACTGCGGCAATGATTAAGTGTGAGGAGGCAAATCATCTTTTGGCGGCCTCGCAACCCCCTAGAGTGCAACCAACGAAACGCTTGTTCTCTGCTGCGTCTACACAGAAAAGAAGTTGTTTTCGGACCTTTCTCCGTGTCCCCCAAAAAGACAAAGCTGGGCAGTGGGGAGGTTTCGTAGTGGGCTGGGAGGGACTTGAAGTTTTCGTTGGTGTTAGCCCTTCAGCTGATTCCACTGAGATCACTGAGGTGACCCAAAGACTCTTGAGCCGGGAATACAGGGCCAGAGCCCCACTCCCTCTCTGTCCCAGCTCAGCGTCAGCCAGTAGGGGGTCTCCGGGAGCGCAAGCTGGCGAGCTCCAGGGCCGACTGAGAAAGGGGAGGGAAGAGGAGGAAAGCAAAGAGGGGAGGGGAGGTGTCTCCCACTCCCTCCTCTCTCCTTTGCGCCCCCTCCTCCCTCCCTGGCCCCCTTTCCTCCCTGGTCCCCTCCTCCTCCCCCGCTTTTGATTCCCTGAAATAACAGCCGTGTGGCCCATAAAATGAAAGTGTCTGAAAGAATCCGGGGCGGAGCAGCTGCGGGCGCCCAGCGGACCACACACACACACATTCACACACATACGTACACACACACACATTCACATACATAAACACACACTCTCCCAAACATTCACACATACAGACATACGCGCGTGCACACATACACACATATACGCATCCATGTATACAAGCACACCCCACACACATACCCAGATCGGCAAATCTCCTTGGCACTGACCCCTTGGAAGAATGAGGCGAGCTATCTGAGAAGGTATGCTAGGATAAGGGGTCGGAGGTGGAGCTAGGGGAGCAGAAACCCTGAGGAGAGCCAGCCAAGGCCAGCGGGAGCGCTGAGAACGGCTCTGTCAGAGCTGGTCCAGGGTCCAGAACCCGGGCTCTCCGCCCTACTGCAGGGCAGGGTGGGGAGCTGAGGAGGGAGGAAGACTTCCTTCTCCACCCAACCCCACACACACATAATAAAACCTAGTCTCCAGGGACGAGGCTGTTTTCTCTCTCATTCCCCCCAAATGGAAGCATTTTAGGAGCCCTCCGTTCTCGCCCCTCCCCCCCTCCAAAAAAAAAAACACCTGGGGTTAGTGGGGCCCAGTTCGCTGAAAACTGATACATTGCGCGCCAGGACGCAAGGGAAGAGAAGGTTCCCAACACAACCTCTCCCTTCCTCTCCCCGAACCAGGCCCAGGCCTCCCCAACACCTAGAGCACTGGCCCTTCACGCTCTTCCCTGCCCCTAACGAGCTTCCTCTTTTACCACCCCATTTCTTGCGGGGACCTTGAAACAAACCTGATCGCTTAGAACCCCCAAACGCAAAAGGCCCGCCTGAAAAGTAGCTGAGGGTTACAGGAGAAGAAAACTCTGGAAACCCAGGCGGCCCAGGTGATGCTCAGCTGTGATTCCAATTGAGCCTCAGAACGCCCACCTCCACCTGACCTAGGCTGGATTCCAAAAAAACCACAGGGCCCGGCCCTAAAACAGTTCCCCTAACCTTCGCGCCAGAAAGGCCAGGTGAATGAGCAGCATGCTTGTACTTGGCTGCATGTCCCTGGGTGTGCCCACGAGCAAGCGTGCATACCTGTGTGTCCATGGAAATGTGAGTGTGAGAAGAGGAATGGAAGTCCTCAAGGCCAGTTCCACTTTTGTCTCTGTATTGGCCATTCCCAGCCCAGAGCCTGGCTCCCAGCAGGGCTTTCTTCTCTTTTTAAACATTTTCATTTTAGGTTTTGAGTTTCAAATTCTATCCCTCCCTTCCTCCCCTCCTCCCCTCCTGAGATGGGCAAGCAATCAGATGTAGGTTATACATGTGCAATTATGTAAAAAAAAATCCATATTAGTCATTTTTACAAAAACACTCGAATAAAAGGGGGGGAAAAGAAAGTGAAAAATGGCATGCTTCAGTCTGTATTCAATCAGTATCAATTCTTTCTCTGGAGGCAGATAATATGCTTCATCATTACTCCTTTGGGAGTGTCTTAGATCATTGTACTGCTGAGACTGGCTAAGTCATTCACAATTCTTCAACAAACAATATTACTGTTACTACATACAACGTTCTCCTGGTTCTGTTCACTTCACTATGCACCAGTTCATGTAAGTCTTTCAAGATTTTTCTGAAATCATCCTGCTTGTCATTTCTTACAGCACAATAATATTCCATTACAATCATATGCCACAGCTTGTTTAGCCAATTTCCAATTGATGGGCATCCCTTTGATTTCCAGTTCTTAGCCATCACCAAAAAAAGCCAGCCGAGCTTTCATACAGTCTTGTTGAATGAACAATTTGCGAGCTCGAGAATAAAGTGTATGCAGTAGGGACAAGGCAAGGCAAGGACTCCATCTCTTTCCCAGAACCCTGGCTTGGTCTCTTCACACACAGTGGGTGCTTTATAAATTCTGGTATTTGCATTCGTCCAGATCCAGGGAATGTGCTCTGTGCCCCCAAGAGTGTCCGAGGAGAGTACATGTATCCAGGAGTACATGTGTATGTGTATGAACTCACACATCAACAACCCTGAATTCATGCCCTTGGGCACAAGGCAAAGGCTCAGAGGGAGGGCAGACGTTGAGAAGTCCTCTGCTTCCTTAGCTTGCTCTCAGGTCCTCCCAATCAACCTCCTTTCTGACCCCTCCTACATCTTCCTTCTCTGCCTTCCATGGAGCCCAAATACCGAGCACAATTCTGCAAATCCCCCATATGTAACATGTAATGTTGAACATGTGGGCAGAGCCCCTGCCAACAGCTACAAGGCCTCAAGCTAAGGCAGAATGAGAGAGAGAGAGACAGAGAGAGAAGAGAGAGAGAGAGAGAGAGAGAGAGAGAGGAGAGAGAGAGAGAGAGAGAGAGAGAGAGAGAGAGAGACAGAGACAGAGAGAGAGAGAGAGAGAGAGAGACAGAGAGAGAGAGAGAGAGACAGAGAAAGAGAGACAGAGAGCGAGACAGAATACTCGTGGTGCCTGCATCTGAATTTCTGTGTTAATCTCTGGGTATATTATGTACATATGCATCTCTGTGTGTATTTGTGTATGTCTAAATGTGTTTGCATGTGCACATGTTATATATGTATGAATAGACACAGAAGCACCTAAAATGTATTTGTACTATATAAATATATTCTGTATACAATGTGTGTGTTTATGATACATAGTGTACACGGGACAGCTAGGTGGCAAAAATTCCAGGTCTGATGTCAGGAGGACATCTTCCTGAATTCAAATCTGGCCTCAGATACTAACTAGCTGTGTGACCCTGGGCAAGTCACTTAGCCCTGTTTGCCTCAGTTTTCTCATCTATAAAATGAGCTGGAAAAAGAAATGTCAGAAAAAAATCCCAAATGGGGTCCCACTGAGTCAGACATGATTGAACAGCAACAAAGGCATCTATAGGTGCCTCTGTGTGTTTTTCTGTATATATTTGGGAGTATACTCAGGGATAACTGGCAGCCTGAAAGGGGTAGGGGAATTCCTCCACCACCTCCACGATGGTGACCACTACCTTTCCCTCGGTGCCCCTTCCCAGGAGGGTGGCAGTGACTGGAGGGCAATGGGCAAAGGGAGGCCTAGGCCCTGAGCAGCCCTGCCCTACCTTAGCCTCTGTCCAGAACCTGGCTACCTCCCACTTTGCCTTGATTTTTTGCTTTTGGGAAGGGGGCATGTTCAGGACAGAGTGCCCTAGGCCTCTTACCCCATCTAGGACCTTTGATGGAGGGAGGGGCTGGAGAGTCCAGGGCTCCCACCTGCCTTTGCAGAATCTCTGTATTCCTAGAAAATAGTGACCCCTGGAGGACACTTGACCTCCCAAGGTAGAAGAATCGGAGATGGGGAGGGGCTAAGTCACCACAAGGCATGTGATAGGAGGAGAGGGCTGGAGACAGGAAGGCAGGCTTCCAGTCTCAGCTCTGCCCCCTCTCAGCTTCATGGCCTTAGCAGGTATATTCCCCTCTCTAGGACCCAGCATCCTCCTGGGTAAAATGAGACAGTTGGACTCTAAGATCCCTTTCAGTTTTAACATTCTAGGATTCTTCAATACTATCACTCTAAGGCAAAGCATAACTGAAAAAATATCATCAAACTGGAGACTCAAGTGGACACACACTACCATCGACTCCCCTCCCCCCCGAAAAAAAACACCCAGAAAACCCAACTGGGTTGTGTATGGAGGTCAAATACAACTCAATTCCACAAACATTTTAAAAACATATGCTGTGTAGCCCATGCCAGGTGCTTCTCAGAGCTCCCCCTCTAAGGCTAGCTTCTATCTAATTGGGATTTATCTTGTGTATAACTCTAATTAGATACAGCTACACAGCCATGTTGTCCCACATATATCCAGACATCCAATTAGAATATAAATTCCTTGTGGGCAAGGACTGTTTTTTCCCCTTTTTGCCACACTCCATACCCAGTACAGTGTCAGTACTATCCACCCATCTCTCACATCTGTCCCCTCCTTTCTGCTCATACTGACCCCACCCAAGTTCAGACGTAATGCAGGAGAAGAGAACAGAGGAAGAGGAAGACATGCCATGCAAGAGGTCCAAGATTTCTATGGAGTTACATTGAAAGAAACCTGCCATATGTCAACCTTTCACAATTTTGTACCCCCCTCATCTTTCCCTCAGACTGTTGCAGTCACCTTCTAATTGATGCCTTTGCTTCTAGTCTCTCTCCACTCCAACCCATTCTCCACACAGGTGCCAAAATGATCTTTCCAAAGTACAAGTCTAATTAGGTAACTCCCCTGCTCGAGAAACTTCAGTGGCTTCCTCAGTCAGGCAGTCAGTCAACACATATTTATTA